TGTGATTTGTGGATGTGGACATCGCCTTGAGGAAACACAGTGAATATTCTTCAGTGGGAATGTTTTTATTTAACCTCCTCATGCCAAATAGAGAGAGGGACAATTGCATTGTCTGACTATTAATTGGTTATCTGACTTTGAAAAAATAAAAAATAAAAAATGCAATGACAGTATATTAAAGTATGTGACATTCACCACTCCTCCATTTCTTCTCCAAATTATACTATGTTATCTGCTCTATCATTTACATTTCTCATTTGTTATCTTTCATATAACAATTTGGAGTGAAACTTTCATACTGAAAATGAGCAGACACAGGAAATTATGGTAAAATAAGTCCAAACATTAAAAGACACTAAGTATTTTGTCCTGTGATATAAGTTATATACACAGTATATATAAAAGTTTAATTGTTTCAATATATATGTGCATAAAATGTTTTGGTCACACACTTTAGTTTGGGGATGGGGACCAATTCTCACTATTAACTATGACTTTTGTCTCAATAAACTCCTAATTTGCTGCTTATTAATAGTTAGAAAGGTAGTTGTTAAGTACATTTGTTAAGTTAAGCCAATATGCTAGTAATATGCATGCTAATAAGCAAGTAATTAACAGTGAGAATTGGTCCCTAAAATAAAGTATTACCAATGTTTTATTAAAAAATTCATTTTTTATCTCAGGGCTGAGGAGATTAATGGGATTTCTGTTAATAATTACTTGAGCAATTATGCAAATATGTCACATTTCAGTTACTAGATATATAGTAGATCTCCAAATTATTAAGTATTCAAACATTAGTGATATCAGTTGCAATTCACAGTTTGTTTCTTTGTATGTATTATTAGAATGGCTTCAACAAACAAGATGCTGTGATTACTTTGTGCTCTGTTTTACTATCGATATCTCTGTGAGTTCCACCATGAATGCATAAGGCTTTCCCAAGACATAAATATGTGTATGTGTGTGTGTGTGTGTGTGTGTGTGTGTGTGTGTGTGACACAACAGGGAGTCCTTAAAAACACATATATTAAACACAGCCTCTTGCATCCCAAGGCACAGTCAACAGCTGTTTTGGGTGATATTTTATTAATGCTGTAGTTTTAATTAGTTTAATTACATTCATCCCTCTTTGTGCATAATTTTCCCTTATTTAATGCAAAACAACCAAAAACTGCCTCAACTGTCATTTCAGTACACAGAAAAAAAAGACTCATAGCACTGTGGCTGTATGATTTTTAACATGGAGTCTCTTTAAAATAAAGGCACAGCATGTAGTTTAAACAGCTGGTGAACTCAAAGGGACCCCGGTTCGAATCCGGCCTGCGCCATGTACCCAATCATTTCTACCTTAGCTTTTCTGTCTGGTCGACACAGTCTTATAAATCAAAGGCAAAATTCCATAGACACAACTGAAATAACAGTACTGAAAGGAATACAACTACTTGCACAATTACTTGTCTTCAAAGATTCCTAAGGATATTAGCCCTAAACAAAGGAATGGTCAAAAAAAAAAAAAAACCTCTCGATACTTGTATTCTGCCTCTGTTTATCTGTGCACTTCACCTCCCGCACTGAATCGCATGTAAAATGAAATGCATGGTGTTTGTGTAAACAGTTTATCTGAGCTTCTGTAGACAGCTGTTCGCAGGATTGTCTGAGTGGCTGTAAAACAATAAGGGAAGTGTACGATCATCAGTGTGTAAGAGGAGCGCATGTACGCACACACAGCTCTCTAGTGGGCTGTGGAGAATGCGGACTGGGCCGTTACTGTGTTTCACCAAGAAGCAGATCCGAAATGCCAAGATGGCACTGAACCCAAGGGGGAACACAGTTCTTTATTAACACTGCAACCTGAAACTCTGGATGAGGACATAACCATGGACGTTTATTGGAACGCCACAATGGTTAGTCAGCAGCAATCCAATCTGTGTGTGTGTGTGTGTGTGTGTGTGTGTGTGTGCGAGTGAGCTCATAGGGACCCTGGTTTTAACCCCACATGCACCATGTAACCAATCATTTCTACCTTTGCTTTCCTGTCTGGTCTACGCTTTCTTAAAAATCAAAGGCAGAATTCCATTAACACAACTGAAATAACAGTTTTGAAAGTGATCCAATTACTTGCACAATTACTTGTTTTCAAAGATTCCTAAGGATATTAGTCCTAAACAAAGGAACAATCCCAAAAAAAGCCTCTCTATACTTGTATTCTGCCTCTGTTTATCTGTGCACTTCACCTCCCGCACTGAATCGTCTGTAAAATGAAATGCATGGTGTTTGTGTAAACAGTTTATCTGAGCTTCTGTAGACAGCTGTTCGCAGGATTGTCTGAGTGGCTGTAAAACAATAAGGGAAGTGTACGATCATCAGCATGTAAGAGGAGCGCATGTACGCACACACGGCTCTCTAGTGGGCTGTGGAGAATGCGAACTGGGCCGTTACTGTGTTTCACCAAGCAGCAGATCCGAAATGCCAAGATGGCACTGAACCCAGGGGGGAACACAGTTCTTTATTAACACTGCAACCCGAAACCCTGGATGGGGACATAACCATGAACGTTTATTGGAACGCCACGATGGTTAGTCAGCAGCAATCCAATCTGTGTGAGAGTGTGTGTGTGAGTGAGTGAGTGTGTGTTGTAGGGGCAGGTCTCATTTCCACCACTACAGGAATGAAGATGAGACAAAACTTATTTAATGACAAAGGCTAGTGCTGTTCGAAGCAGAAGTCGTTAGATGAGCAATTGCACGGAACAAATCCAGTGATATCTATGACAGTAGATAGTGTTATGGGGGAGGCGAATCAGATCTTTGGAAATATAATTTTTTAAAAATCGATATCGTTTACCAATTATCAAAGCGTAGAGTGCGTATGGGCAACGGAAAGTGAGTTTGAATGAGCATGTGTGTGACAGAAAATGAGCCTGCGTATGTGCGTAAGAGATGCTCTCGTGGACAGATCGCTCCTATTCTCGGGTTCTGGAAGCTGTCTGTCTCCAGGACTCATTACAGACCACTTTCGCCCCACACACATTGACTAAGCGGCCACCATGCCGCGAGCGTCACAAAACGGCTACATTTATTCCTGTCCTTCCTCCGCCTGGTCAGCGATATCACTCACTGCCCCAGACAGCTTTAGGAGACAATTACCAGCTAACGGAGCAGGAAAGATCTCTTAAGAACCATGTTTTGCCCAGTTTATCAATGCCAATAGCATTATCGTAGCGATTAGGAGGATGAAAATGTGCTCTTTTGGTAATTCAACACATTGAGGCGAAACTTGATCACTTGAGCAGCCCACTCTCCTTCCCCATGAGCCTCTCTGGCTGAGGTGTTTGAAACATCCTGGCTTCCTGTACCATACTGAGTATAGTATTTCTGGTGTGTGTGTGTTTGTGCGTAGGGGGTTTATGTGTTTTACCATCAGCAGGAGGAGCTTGGAATGATAATGTTGTTTCGCTAAATAGCAGACCTAAAGGTCAGCTGCCAGGGGCCTCTTGAACAACATGGTCCAGTCTCGGAAATAGATTGACTATTTATTGAGTGCGGGCAAAGCAGGGGAATACTCTGGCATCTCATGCTGGACCAAAATTCCCTGTTCTTTATTTCCTCTGTGCGTGGGAAGAGAGGCTTATGCGTTCACACAACCATTAACAGACTAAAAGACACTCACACTTACCCTCCTAAGAATATCAGAGGTATGTCAACAGCAGCAGAGTTACGAGAGACAGTCGTTGTAAAGCACACAAACCATATGAGATCCCATGGCTGACAAAACAGTGTCCACTTATTTAATGTTACAATACTAATATAGATAATAACACTACATATTAGACAATGAGTAGAATTATGTACCTTATTGGTCTAGCACTGGCTCAACAGTGTTCAGCTGTTGCCCACCACTGGCCTACATGTGGACCCCATACTGGGCATTCCTGTTTCTAGATAAAGTAAATAAAATAAAGGGGTCATATGATGCGATTTCAAGTTTTCCTTTCTCTTTGGAGTGTTACAAGCTGATTGTTCATAGATAAGATCCCTGAAGTTGCAAAGACTAAAGTCTCAAAACCAAAGAGATATTCTTTATCAAAGTTAAGACTCTGCCACGCCCCACTAAAACGGCTCGTTCTAACACGCCCCCACATATCAATCAGAGCAGACTGCGCTTGTCGGAAGGAGGGACTTTGTAGAAAACGAAGCGTTTGAGAGAGGCGGGGCATAGAGGACCTACAATAATGTACAGTATTTGAAAAATAATGTGTTTTTTGAACATTAAAGCATGTCAACATATTCTGTTACACCAAATACACAAAATAATGATCTTTAAAAAAGCATCATATGACCCCTTTAAATAAAAGTTATGACTAAAATAAAAAATTATTGATACACATAATAATTTAAGACAAAAAGAAACATTACGCATAATTAAAAAGAGTCAATGCACTATTTTTTTTTAATTAATTAACATTTTACATGGTAATTCCAATTCCAATGGCAAAATTTAAATTCCAATTAATAAAAAAAGAAGTGTAATTTGAGTCTGAATTTTAGAATTAAAATGCAATTTAAAGAAATTTGCATGACTGCTGTAAGTAGGAATTACCCACAGATATTCCTTGAAAACAATTTCTGAATGGAAAAACTAATTTTTAATTTAAACAAAACACAGGATTCTGAAGATGGATGGATGGATGGAACGTGCACTTTTTGAAAGTCAATTTTGCCTAGCCATGATTTTCAGGCCAAAACCCAGATATATTACAGAGGTAGCATTAGTAATACTAAGCCACTAATCACTGGGAAAATTATAATCAACCTCCAGCATAAAGCTCTATTAATATTTAACAATAATTAAGAATATGTACACATGCAATATCAATTATTTATTTCTGAACTGATGCATTGACCTCCCAGGGGACAGGTTGGGATATGATCAATCAGATACAGACAGGGAGAGAGAGACAGAAAGATAAAGAGTGAGAGTGATGCTGGAGCCAGCACTTCTCTCTCTCTCTCTAGCTTCATAGCTTCAGGCCTCTGGGACCTCCTTTAAAGATGATTCAACATTAATAGCAATATCTTTAATGCTCAGACATTAGCGATAGCAATAATTAATGTATGAATAATCACGATGTAAAAAGCATTATCAATAATTGTATGAATAATGCACATTCATTATGCATGAGTCTGGCCTCAGGGCTGAATTTGGCATTTTTGTTCTTGTCCAGAACACAGAGAGAAAGATGCAGCATCCTCGCCTTTGATCAAAACACTAACTTATATGGCATTCGGGCTGCTGGCCCAGCATTGGCCCACCGGTGGGGTACATATGGACCCTACGAACATGCGTGGGCCATGTTTAGCATGCTTTGAAGGGCAGGCTGGGGCTGGCACAAGTCAAGCAGAGTGAGATGCATTTGTATTCTATCCGTTCACAGCGCTTTAGCAGCTCTAACAGGAAAGGCCTGCTCCTGAGAGCTTCATCGAGATTAGCGCTTATCACAGACTGCTTTCATACTTCACGTAGTGCTCCTTATGCAGATATCACCAGAGACTCAGCTAATGAAGACACAGCACTGCTCTGCATATGTTGCTACCGTTACCCTCCCTTCCTCTCATGGAAAAGCCACATCAGACACATACTATGTCAACTTTCAATGCCACTTTTATTATTTGAAGTTAAATATTGTGTCACATGTTCATGGAAAGACACCTTGGATTTCAGTGCATGTGTCTACTGTAGGTGTGTGTGTGTGTGTGTGTGTGTGAGTGTGTGAGTGTGTCTGTGTGAGAAGGTTTAAAAATCGGTGGCCCACTTTGCCTCGTCAGATTGGACCACAGTGAGAGATCAAATTTAGAGGAAGGACATTATCTTTTGCTGACAGTGAGGGATGGCGGGACCAGAGAGGGGTGGACACCGTAATGAGGATGGCGACTGCTTTTAGTGTGGCACCTCTGGCTTGCCTGGGCCTCCCAGGATAGTGCAATCTCTCAGTGTCAACAGTTCTCTGAAAGCCTGATTCAATTAAGATTAAAGGAGAGCAGCGAGTGGCAGGGGTCAGTTTGATCAGAGCGATTGGCGCCTCTCTTGTTTTTACTCATCTTATAATATTTTCTTTGCCTCTCTTTCTTTTTTCCCAGGCTAACTTTGTAAGGTCCTTTGATTATCAGAATGGTGTTGTTCATACTAGCGCTATGAGTGGCGGAGTGTGTGTGTTTCATGGTAAGTGTACACATAAGTGTGTCAAATAGCCAACAGGGCAACATTTAAGCTAGCACTACTCAGTATTACTTTTTTTCACCTTGGATAAAAGTGTCTGCAAAATGCATAAATGTACATTTAAAAAATAAAAATCCCAAATGCCCAGAATGATTATTCAATTGTTATGTTTTATATCGCCATCATATATATATATATATATGTTAATGTTGAACCATTAAGTTCAAATTATAATAATAAAATAAGAAAAGTACCCTTCAATGTAATTATTATATAATAATAATATTCAATACAGATATATACAGTATATTCAATATATATATATATATATATTTTTATCGATAAAATATCTTTGGGTTGAATTTCCAAGTGATTTTTCCCTTTTTTTTATAGACACAAAATAGACTAAATAGACAGAACCCAAAATATATGATTATTCCTAACAACTGAATGATGAAAAACAACTTCACAATATACACCGTTCAAACATTTGGGGTCAGTAAGATTTTTTTTATGTTTTTCAAGAAGAAGTCTCTTATGCTCACCAAGACTGCATTTATTTGATCGAAAATACAGTAAAACCGTTATATTGTGAAATATTACTATTTAAAATAACTGTTTTCTATTTTAATATATTTTAAAATAAAATGTATTCCTGTAACTGCTATGCTGAATTTTCAACAGCCATTACTCTAGTCTTTACATGTCACATGATCCTTCAGAAATCATCTGATCTACTGATTTGGTGCTCAAGAAACATTTTGTATTATTATCAATGTTAAAGGGGTCATATGATGCGATTTCAATTTTTCCTTTCTCTTTGGATTGTTACAAGCTCTTGGTGCATAAAGAAGATCTGTAAAGTTGCAAAGACTAAAGTCTCAAATCCAAAGAGATATTCTTTATAAAAGTTAAGAGTTAACCACGCCTACCTAAAACGGCTCGTTCTAACAAGCCCCCCACATATCTACGTCACTATGTGGGAAGATTTGCATAACGCCGCCCAAATGTTCATGCAAAGAAAGAAGGCGTAACTTTTATTCTCGCTGTAGTATTGTTGCCGCCGCCATGTCGTGAAGAGCTGTGTGTTTCGTTGTGAAAGCGAAACTACTTTGTTTGGTCTTCCAAAAGAGAACGATATCTGCTTCGTCATGCCTGGAGCTGATCCGTGCTGGTCGCTGAGGGACAATAAAGAAAGGGGCGTAACATTTCCGTCACACGCTTGAGGTATTCGGCCAATCACAACGCACTGGATAGCTGGAGAATCAGAGCACACCTCGCTTTTCAGACCGATGAGCTTTGTAAAAATCGACGCGTTTCAAAAAGGCAGGGCATAGAGGAGAAACAATAATGTACAGTATGTGGAAAATAATGTGTTTTTTTAACTTTAAACCGCATAAACACATTTCATTACACCGAATACACAAAATAATGTTCTTTTTAGCAGCATCATATGACCCCTTTAAAATGTTGTGGTTCCTAAGATTTTTGTGCAAATCTTTTTGAGTCTTTGATATATAGAAAGTTCAAAAGAACAGCATTTATTTGAAATAGAAATATT